ATAGATCTTAACTTTTTGGCGGGGTTTCTCTAATTTCAAATTTCTGTAATTTTATTGTACTGGCGTCCGTAATTTTAAAACTATCAGAAATTCAAAATGAATTCAAAGAAATATTACTGAATTACATGTAGTACATATACATTTTTTGAAATCAAGAGAACTAGATGTTTCAAACAATTATAATTGCAAGAAAAATGAGTTGTTCAACAGAGGTGGAATTTGACATATATTTTTAAACACCAGGTACATGTAAGGTTAATATTTTGTTTTACTCTCTTCTGTAAAATACCCAATTATACACCGATCTAGCCTACGGAAAGTGTCATTTTATTACATCAGTTTCGTTTCCTACGGATCCGAGCCACTTCGGACATTTTCGGGATATTACCGCACGGGCTTGAGAGCAATCGGATGTTTTCGGAGATTTTATCGCATTTCTTGAATTTGGACGTTTGTCAATTCTGGCGCCCATATCAGTGAATGTATTCGTCTTATTTTGCAAAAATGTATCCAAAAACTAACCATCGTAGAAAAAGTATAGCATGCAACCCATTTGGTAAACTTTTTAAGTCACTCGTTTATTAAACATCGCTGAACTCTGCTCGTGCCAAATAAACATGAGACTTAAGTGCCGTTTAGCGCACTTTATGAATAATATACTATAGTCATCCATTATATTGTTCGATAAATTCGTGGGTAAACGAAAAAATAAAACAAATTAAAATATATAAGGTTGTTCGGAAAGTCATTTCGTTTTTTCCCGTCAGAGGACTTAATTACGTTTTTTCAAAACCAACTTCACACTTAAGCCTCATAACCATTATATGTCTTGAGACCTGATATTGCAAGGCTTGTGTGTGAAAAAGTTCTATTAATTCTACGCAGTAGTTTTTGGTTGGTGCCCTTTTAAATATGGAGAGCATAAAGCAGCATTTTCGTCATATTTTACTTTTTTACTTCAGAAAAGGTAAAAATGCTGTCTAAGCGAGAAAAAAAATTGACGGATGTGTATGGAGAAGGCGTGTTAACAGTACGCCAGTGCCAGAACTGGTTTGCAAAATTTCGATCCGGCAATTTTGATGTCGAAGATGCACCACGGTCTGGAAGGCCGGTCGAAGCTGACAAAGATGCGATAAAGGCATTAGTTGATGCAAATCGGCAAATAACCACACGAGAGATCGGTGAGAGATTAAATTTGTCGAATTCGACTGTTTATGGCCATTTTAAAGGCATGGGCTTAACCTCGAAGCTCGATGTGTGGGTGCCCCATGTCCTTACGGAGCGAAATTTGTGTCGTCGCGTTGACGTGTGTGATTCGCTCCTCAAACGTCAAGAAAATGATCCATTTTTGAAGCGGATTATTACTGGGGACGAAAAATGGGTTGTACACAACAATGTTAAACGCAAGAGGTCATGGAGCAGAAAAGATGAACCGGCTCAAAGCGTGTCAAAAGCCAACATTCACCAAAAAAAGCTGATGCTCTCCGTTTGGTGGGATGTCAAAGGAATCGTTTTTTTTTAGCTTTTGCCGGACAATACAACGATTAATTCAGAAGTCTATTGTCATCAACTGGACAAATTGAATGATTCACTTAAAGAGAAGAGGCCCGAATTAATCAACAGGAAGGGTGTAGTGTTCCACCAGGATAATGCGAGACCTCACACAAGTTTGGTCACTCGCCAAAAACTTTTACAGCTTGAATGGGACGTACTGCAACATCCACCATATTCTCCAGATCTGGCGCCTTCCGACTACTATTTGTTCCGGTCCCTGCAAAATTTTTTGGATGGCAAAACCTTTACCTCAAATGAAGATGTCAAAAACCACCTGAACCAGTTTTTTGCCAGCAAGGACCAAAACTTTTATGGGATGGGAATTATGTTACTGCCAGAAAGATGGCAAAAGGTGTTGGACCAGAATGGCCAATATATAATTTAGTAAAATATTTATTCATTATACGAAAACTGTCTTTCATGTTCCCCAAAAAAAACGAAATGACTTTCCGAACAACCCAATACAATCTGGTCACTTAGTCTGCAACATATGGCGGTTATTAATAAACAAGAAAGATTTTGCACTTTGAATTAAATTTTTTCATGAGGCCTATTATAATTACTGATATTTTAATTCTTGTTTTTATTTGTATTTTATATTTTGTTTCTATTCCTATTGAAATTGAGCTTAAAATATTTAAAAACATTGAAGTTATTTTTGTGCCATATATATTTGGTATTTACTAATTTATAATAGTATATTATGCAGCAAGTGTGGTAAACGGCATTTTATTTGGCGCGAGAGGAGTGAGTGTTTAATAAATGAGTGACCTAAACAGTTTACCAACGTGTTGCATACTATAAAAACCACGAATACATTCACGGACATAAGCGTCAGAATTGAAAAACCTCAACATTCAAGCGGTGCGGTAAAATCTCCGAAAACATGTGATTGGTCCCAAACGCGTGCGGTAATATTCCGGAAGTGTCCGAAGTGGCTCGGATCCGTAGGAAACGAAACTGATGTAATAATACTTTCTGCACGCTAGATCGATGTATAATTAAGTAGTTCACAAAAGGGGTAGAAAAACAAGTTTAGGGCAGATATACAAAAAACAATGCTTTTCCAAATTCTTAATGTTTTTTAAGTAAAGAACTTAGATACTTAGATAGATATGGGCATACATAATTTTAAATTCTAAACAACTATTCTTAATAGCGTTTTGCTGATTTTTTTCATTTTCACTTCATTTTTGTGAAATTTTTATATTTTTACCCTGCGTTAATAAGCAATAAATAAAATATTCCATATATATTGTATTAGTTAAAAGATTTTTGGAATTTTTCAAATGAACGTCGACTTTCAAAAACTTTCTTGAAAAAAGATTTATTCAAAAAAACGTCCGCTAATTTCTAGGGTAAATAAAATAATAAAAAATTAGGTTAGTTTACACATGTGGGGCCTCAAAAAAATACAATATAAAAATGGGTTAAGAGGATATTGGTTTTTGAGTTATTTGAAGTTTTAGAAGTAACGCGTATTTTTTAATGCAACTAACGTTATGTTTTAATATTTTATTTACTCTACAAATTAGCGGAGCATCTTTCGAAACGTCCTGTGTGGATGAGGTAGTACCACACATACTGTAGGAGACACGGTTTGACATTCCTTTCGTCAAAAAGTCGGCAACCGCAGCGACTTCTGAATTCACTACAATTTGAATAAAATTCTACCGAGGCATTTTTTTCCTTATCTTGTTCTCTCGGTTCGGATTTCCTGTCTGATATATAAATAAACGATATCCAATTATGCGGAGCTATCCGCTATATTATCAACCGAAAATTGAAAGCATCGTATATTATTATATACTTCTTATTAAGCCATTCTCTGGTTTTTTTTTGTCCCGAAATAGGTACGAGTAGGTGAACCGAATTGGCTTGAGGTGTTACAAATTCTAATTAAACCCAGATCGAGATAATGTGCTAGGCGATTGCAAACTCGTTTTCGCGCGGTACATACCTTCGTTCGCCGGGTACCTTAATTTAACAGAAAGGCAGAAAAAATTTGAAAGTACTCCGCTGCGATAATGGATCCAATTTAATATTAATTTGGCGTACAGGAAGCGTTTTAAATAATGACCGTCTAATCGTTTTAGGTACCAAAAAAAAACTGGTCACTCGCAATTCTGCTACGAAAAACTCTAAAAATCAAATACAAGGCAGTTTTCGCTTGCTTTATATGATGAGTTTTACCAACCCTTTACCGAATTTCGACAGAAGTGTCCCTATAAGTATGAGTCAAACAACGTCAATGCCTCAGATATTTTGGTTTTGATAGTAATTTTTGTGTATTACCGAAGTCTAGCGCCCATCTACAAAGTAAATATTCGAATAGAGCGGATCCACCATCACATTGTCATTAAACAAAAAACTTTCAGTAAATGAAAGATAAATCTCCATTCTCTGACAAAGTTATAAATTCAAATATAACCCCAGATGTGTTATTGTTTAAATGAAATCGACTAACTATACTGGGTTGTTCTAAATTACTATTTTGTATGTATTTGAGTACATACATACTATTTAATAGACAAAATTTTGTCTGGTGGCAGTTTTAAATACGGCACTGGAATTGCTATTTCATTTATTTAGAAAATATAGTCTTGGTACGGTCCTGTGCGTTTAGCACACCGTTTATAAATTAAAATATTACACGTTACTAAGACTAAAAATTTAGTATTCAGATGAACATAAAACTTATAATAGGTTTAATTTACTACTTATAATTTCTAAAATATTGCAATTATTTATACGTTTTAACACAAACTTTAATAAACCTAAAAATAGAATGATATTTACGGTAAATGCAACTGTTATGGGCGTTATATCAATCGCGCTGGTACCAGTCCACTTAAATTTTATTACGTTTGTAAACTTAATTTAATAATATTAATTAATTAAATTTTATTGCAAAATCGTGTGTTTTTTTTAAATTGATTCTTTAATGGCAAGTATATAAAATTGTCAAAAATAAAATTTGGAGATATATAAAACGGAAAAAATATGAAACTTCTAAATTGCACAACAATTATTGGAATAAAGGATTCAGAAACTGAAGAGAACTTACGTGTAAAATAATCTCCAATAATTTAACCCACCATATATTGGCATGGTCATTTATAACCTCCCTACCTTACAATAAGAAAAAAAAATTAATAACATATCGCTTAAAAATAATTAGCACCCACCCTACCTCTCAACTGGGTTTTTAAACCAGGACGTGAATTTTTAGAGCCAGAGTTTATTTTTTTTATTTCGGACGGTAACCTAAAATGAACCAATGGATGTTATCATCCGTCAGCAGACAGTTCATTAAGGAAATTTAAAATTAATAAGCCGTGGTAACAAACAAAACAAGGAAATTATCCGAGGAATTGGTCGCCAAAAATATATTTAATGAAATAATAATAAAGTCAACAAAGATGGGTGCTGATTTTGATTCTTACCTCTCTTCGGTGTGCTCTCTTGTAGCAAAGGCATGTCCCGACGGAAACCAGTCACCACAACGTTATCACAAAACAGTCATCGCCAAACGATCACCGTAAACCAAAAGTGTCAGTTTTGTTTACAAAAAAATCGCCCGTATACGAACGTCAATGTGCTCCAGTTAAGAGAAAGTGTTGCACAACTGTTTGATTTGGCACATGAGCGCTTACTGAAATTTTTACACATTCAAGGGATGACCTACACTAACTCCAACCCCCACCAGCTCTGGTGGGGGTGAAGCGGCGCGCGGTGGGGAGAATTAGAGCGAACGGCACCCCCTGGACGCGTTACGCACAGGGTAATAGGAAGTATTAAGAAGCTGCCTGTTTCATTAATAGGGTTGGCGAGCGGCAGGAAGGTGCTGTGGGGGTGGGTCCGGGTAATTCGCTCGATGTGCACTAGCGCTATTAATGTTTTAATCAATCCAGCGGTAATCATTTTTGTTTCGACATAAAAATCGGACATTGCGTTTTATATAATAAAATCTGCAAAGGGCACTGCATTGTTCGCCAGCCTTCAGTATATAAATTTAATGAATATTTTTCTATAAGTTCTTGTTTCGATTGGAATTACGAAAATTTTAATAACCTGAAAGACAAGGAGAATGGTTCACATTTTGTGCTGCAAATCATACACACCTTCATAAATCGAATAGTCCGAAACGACAGTCACCTCGTATCTTTAATTTCCACAATTTTTTTTGGGCCAGAATCAGTTCTGTACCTTTTCTATTATTAGAATAAAATATCTCTTGTATCCGCCACGTTTTTGAAAGCGATGCCCAGGTTAGAAACCTAGATAAAGTCTGTTCATAGATATAAGAAAGTGACTAACTGATACGAATTAAGGAAAGACCCGGGCAAACTGTAAGAATGAAATATGGCAGAACAGGTCCGTACTTTTCTTAGAATTTAATTATTTAGGGTTTTGTTAGGAAATACACTAAACAATATTCATTTACGTATGTATGTATTTATGTTTAAATCTAAAATAAAATTAAAATTTATTTTTATTACCTACTTAAATTACTTAAAATTATTCACATAATATATCAGTATCATTATCGCTATCATCGCCTGTTCTAATTATTATTTGTTCTATATTATTTGCAATATGGATATACGATTGTTCTGCTTTTTCGTTAAAAACTTCGGTTTCTATAAGTTTGATGACATTGGAGTTAACGCGGGGAAAAACAGTGTTACGACGAATGGCAGATTTCAGTTGGTGCCAAAAATTTTCAATGGGATTAAACATACAGTGGTAAGGTGGAAGCCCTAAAACTGTATGCCCTATATTTTTTGCATAATTATCACAGACGTATTCCTTTTGTAGGTTCAAGCTTTGTAGAACCTCAATTAATTGCTTTTTGGTATAAACTTCGTGAAAATAAATGTCGTTATTATACATGTAGTTTTGGATTGTTGCTTTTGTGTCACACGAGGAAGGGATTTTATTCAACTGTCTACTGTGATAATTTGCATTGTTCATTACAATGACGTTATTAGGAGAAATGTTTGGAACTAGTTAGTTTTTAAACCAACTTTCAAATAAATCAGCGGTGGTGTTTTCATGGTAATCCAGAAAAGAATCTTTAATATTTTTCGCAGACAGAGAAAGTCCATTTGGTATCCAACCATCTTTAGAGCCGGCATGCAAAATAGTTATTCTATTACCTCTTTTTGATGGGGCGTTTGTTTTACACTTATCAGTTGAGTCAACCCAACCCTTTTCCGGAGTATCATAAGTGTCGAGCCAGGTTTCATCCAAGTAAATAATTAGCCTTTGTTGTTCTCTGTAAATAATAATTTTTTCTAGATATTCCGGTAGCCATTTCCGAATTCTAAAAGATTCCATTAAAACTTGCCTTTTGTCAGTTTTTTTAAATCTAAAACCCATGTGTTGAATACACTTCCATAAGGTAGTTCTGCCACATTTAACACCGGTTTCATCTTTTTAAAGCCTCCTAATTAAGATATCTACTGTAGGCACGCTTTGTTCCTCGTATAACTGGTAAATTTTACGCCGTATTATATCTTGATCACTTTCAGCATGTCAGCAATGTCAGCATCGCTTCTTTTTTTCGTTGAAATGGGATTATTCACAATTTTGTTTATAACTTCCCTAGTCTCAATAGAATAGTGTTTTCTACATTTGGGCGGGAGCATCTCCTGAGATACACTAGACTCGCACATATTTTGCATAATTCGCACACGATTCAACACACGCTGTATTACACACGAAATAAGAATGATTACTAATAAACTTAAACTAAGTAGTATACTAAACCAAAGAATATTAAACACAGGTAGGTTTAAAATTATTTTCTATTACGGACCACAATTTTACCTGAATTTAAATTCCGAATCTTTAGGTAATAATCTTATAGCATTGTATGTTAATGACCACCCTTGGATAATGCCATTCAAAAGCAATTGGTCACTTTCTTATATCTATGAACAGACCATACCAGAATATACAATACTCCGATATTATATCTACATTGGAAAAATGTTATATTATGATTCGTTATATTTAATTCACATTGTATTGTTTTTTTTATATTTATATGGCATATATCTTTTTTTATAGACCTTAGAAATAGAAATAGAGAACCCATAAAATTTGTATTCCGTCACATGTTAGCTATTTGACAAGACGATATCCAATTAATTTTATTACAAATCTTGTTGCTACTAGACAGAGTGATTCAAAACGAAAAGGAAATCTGAAAACAATTAAGTCAAACTTGCAATACACAAATGCTGCTATAGTTTACGAGATGCAGGGGATGAAGTTTTGATAAAAAAATTAAAAAATTGCTATAATTTTAATAATTTTAAGTTAGAGATCAGAATATTTAATTTAGCTCGTGAAGAAAGCGTCGACTTTTTTTTTATTTACCTAAATAGGACAAAGTTAAATTGAAATACTTAAAGAACAATTTTTTTGTTAGAAAATGTATTTTTGCTCAATATCATAATTTTTAACTGTTTTCGAGAGTCCAGATCGAAACCAACTGATTTTTCAATATAGTCAATAATAAAATGCAGTCTACAATCGATTAAAGATTGAAGATCTATGGTGAAAAATTCAATTCAATTACTGAAATTAAAAACTATTTGCGACTCTTACTCAACGTTCTAAGATCTTTGGAAACAATATATCAGAGTGGTAGAGTTAAATGGCGATCATTTTGAAAATTCACTGCACAATATTCTTATCATTTGGTTAAGATGTGTTATTGATCTTTAGGCATTTAAATTGGTAATTTCTTGTGTAGTTTCTAAACAAGTTTTGAAAATTTTGAAAATGTAATGAAGAATGTATGTAAAGAAGTATAGTACGGTTATATTAAATTATTTTAGTTACTTAAATGATTAAGAATTATTATATTGAGCAAAAAGATATTTTATAGCTTAAATGTTTTGTATTTAACTCTGTTTTATTTTTACAGCTAAAAAAGTATGACATGGTTTCTCTATGCAGTTAGCTACACCTAGTACCCTCTATTAAAATGAGTCACACATTTCGATTTGTCACCTAGAGGAACTCACAGATATCAATTTTAATGTTACTATTGCCAAATTTATTAAAACTACAGGAATTTTTCAATTTTGGTTTAGCTTTATCGTTATATCGTCATGTTGTCGTACGTGTAGTATTTAAAATAAATACAGCTAGTTACAGCAGTGGATAGTGCTCCCACTACCTATCAATATACAAGAAGAAAACATCTTATCTAATAAACATAACCCCACACGACCTTTTCGTATTGGAATTTTATGGTTTATTGTTGCATAACAACCATCAAAACAAACGAATCTGCGCTATTTTCCTATATCTGTATATTTTCAGGCAGTCATTTATCCAGCCTTGTCCCGAACCCGAAAGGAAGAAAGAAACGAAAACTGAAATCTGGAGGAATAGCTAATACGAAATTAATAAAATCAATTTCCTTTCTCCGAAGAGTAAAAATCTAAAGCACATCCCGGCAAAGTTATAAAGCAGGATTTGCGCGACAGGCTTTCCCTTTGATGTGCTTTATTACATCCCTCCCGTCTCACGTAGCTGCATAACTTTGATTGCACGTACTTTCCTGAATACTTTTTAATAATTTCCGACGACTAAAAGCTATCGCGTATTCCCGAATTTGCGAGGTATCTTTTGAAGCTGCCGTATGGCACGATATGCTCTATGCTACACCTCAAAATTTGTAGAGGATTTGTGGTTGGAAGTGGTACCTACCTAAAACATAACTTTTTATATCAAACACCCTGTAATGATCCACACAATCATAACATTTTGTACTCGTGATGCAACAGTTCAAATATTTCCAATTATTAATGAATCACGGTGTATATCAAACCCCCGAAATGCTTCAGAGATATAATATGTTATTAATTGCAGCGTTTTTTTACGCACACGCCATATCATTCGACGCCAGGGTGCGGTGCAGAAAAAGCACGCGTTCAGACTTATTCCGGGCAGCCAGGTGCTCTAAAACGGGAAAATGCCGTTTTTTACGCTAAAACACAAAATCCGAGGGGGTGTTTTTTGTCGTCGTGCGGCAACAGTATTGTCTGGAACGTTTACACGTGTGTGTCACGTATTGTAAAGGAGGTCTGAAGTTTGAATGTGTCGGTACTTCCGTACAAAATTCAAAACACGCGTGATATCGAAAGCGATGAAACATAATATCAGTTTACTTTTACTATTTCGCGTCAGTTGCGAATGCGGTCTGGCAATATTAATTACTGATAACGATATTAATTTGTAATTTGTGTCAAATAATTAAATCTCTCACAAGAAGTATCCTTTTTCTCGTGCCAGTTGGTCCCATTTTTCACAAAAATATTATTTGCAACAAATATTTGAATTTACAAAATCATCGTTATCAACCGACGTCCTTGTAGAACAATTATATTCCTTTTTTTTAATATTTGTGAAGTGTGCAGAGTTGTTCGTGCATTCATTCAAATCCAGACATCTCT